GTACTTGACAACCCAACCCAGTGTCCTCGACTTCAGCAAGGAACTACTGAGTGCCCCAGCACCTAGGCCATAGAGGCACTCAGAGAAAAGTCCAACACTGAAAGGAGTCAAAGTAACCACACAGAGTCTACACTACTGCATCTACTTGGAACCAAAACAAAAACACCCTACCCAACAGTCAATATAAAACACATCTACAGAAGGGAGTCTCTCTCCTCAAAAGCCACTCCTGAAGGAAGCAACTGCTCAACCAGATGCCCAGACATCAATATAGGGATACTAGAAATAGGGGAAAAAAAAAAAAAAAAAGAAAAAAGAAAATATAACCCCATAATGAACACAATAATTCCCCAGCACCAGACTCCAAATAAGAGGAAACCTGTGAAATGACTGAAAAGGAATTTTAAGCAACAATCTTAAAGAAACTCAATGAGATAAAAGAAACTTCAGATAGACGACACAACAAAATGAGAAAAAAAAAAAAAAAAATCCAGGATCTGAAAGAGTAACTTTGTAAAGAGATAATTTTATTTTTATTTATATTTTGTTGGCATCTGGAAGGTTCTTTCAATACTCCAGTATCTACATTTCAGGTAAATAATATTCATTTTTAAATTATCTTAATTCTTCTTGATTAATACAAAAAATACTATGTTTCACAAAAATATAAGTACCAAAACAGAACTTCCTTGATCCTGAAGCAAACTAATGCTGGGAACTACTAAACTTTAATGTAAACCACCCCCCCATCAAGTTTTAAGAAGACTAGAAGTTCTCATGACATAAATTTCTACAGATTTTGTTTGTTATTATTGCTTAACTTTTAATAATTGTTCTCTCTCTATATATGATATATTTACAGACTCACTACACTGCATAATTGGGGTGTTTAGCCACTGCCGGCAACCCCACCTTCTCTGCTGAGCCACCTCTGCAGCCATGAATAGGTAGCACAGGACTGGCATACCTCTCTTGGGCACAGAAACATGCCTGCAGCACAAATGAGCTCACCCAAGGCTGCCTGCACCATCAAATTGGCTTCAGAGGGATCCAGCCCAGTAGCCCACCAACAGCCCCAGTGATCTTGTGCAGGATGGCCCACTCTAGCTGAGGAGATCCAGAGTGTCCCAGTAATGCTCTTAGGGTAACAGGGTCTTGTCCACAACCACAGTGGCCTTGCCCTGAGTGGCCACTCCAAACGAACAGCTATAGAAGGCCCAATCATCCCTGCTGGGGGTGAAGGCTCCCATCCAAAACTGCTNTTGACTATACTGAAAAGCAGCTTCAACAAATCGTAGAATATACGATAGATACAGACAACCTAGGTTAGAATGTGCAGATATTTTGATGTTTTAAACAAAAATATAAAAATAAAATTAAGTTCCTTGTAGCTTTATAGATTGGTCATCCATCAGGACATAAACATACAATAAATAAACACAGCTAGGTATTTCCAAAAGGAAACTATAATTTCCAACTAATGAGGTCAAATTGAAACATAATTAATTTTAAAGAAAATATTTTAATCTTTTATAACTCTCAAATAGGTATTCACATGCATTACTCTTACCTTTTCTGAATGTATCACATTTAAAGCTGCACTATGGGGAGCAGCAGATACATAGTCACTGTCATTAAACATCGTCACCATTATGTTCTGGTTTGTGAAAAAGCTAATAAGATCATTGATATCTGAGTCTGGTATTAGAAAATAAGCAAATAATAAAGAATCAGTTTAAATGAGAAACAGACATAGGCTTTTAGTAACATGGAAAGACAACTCTATTTTTAGAGAAATATTTTATGTCCATTAGTTAACACATGATTTAGAGCACTGGCTATGGAGCCAGTCAGCCAGAATTCAAATCTGAGTTGTACCACTTACACTATTTGTCCTTCAAATAGGTTACCTAGATGTTCTGAACCTTAGTCTCCTCTTTTATAAACTGGAGATAATAAGTATATCTTCTTCAAAGGTAGAGTGGTCATGAGAATTAAATGGCTGAATGCACACACAAGGCTTAGAACAGAACCCGGTACATGGCAGTTGTGCAATTTTACCTGCAACAGCTACAAATATTACTAATACTGAAAAGTTACCTATAATATTCAAATAAAATTTGGTTAAATAGTGAGAATAAAAACGTATGTCAATTTTAGGTAACAAGACAGCCTGCTGAACTCAGAAAGGTATATAGTCTTGGGTGTGGTAAGATCACTCCCTTGAGGATTTTTGTATGCTCTGGGCAGACAAGTTTTATAAATGAAAGTTGCCTTAACTATCTTAAAATATTCAAACACATAATCAGGTTTCTATCTACATTCTCTAAAGTGCTTGGAGCCAAGGGAAAGATTTTGAATCCTGTCTGAGGTTTAAATCCATACAAACATGTCTGATGAATAGAGGCAATTTCCCCTCTATCATCACAAAAAACAGAATTCAAGGAAGAACAAACGTGACTTTGAGAGAAATTCAAATCAAACAAAGCAAAACACTATCAGTAACTGAATCGTATGGCAGGGTTGATCAGACTCGGCACCAAACTTGTGTGTCACAGAGAACGGTGCTTTTAGGTATACAGCGATAGTACATTTATTCTCAACTTAGTACCTTAACTGATCTCTCATCTTTAGTTTGCAAGAGTGGTTATATACTCTGAGAGGAGAGCTATATAA